CGGGAACACGGCCCTGCGAGGAGGAGGCCTCTGGAGGCGCCAGCTGCTCCGCCCGCAGCAGATGTTCTCGCCTTTCCCGCCTCCTTCTCCCCGAGGAGCTGAGAACCAAGTCGGGCTGTTCCCTCTCGGCCCGAGGAGGAGCCAGATGTCCGACAAGGAGGCCGGGCGACAGGACGGAGACACGTGTTATATTATTGGTTAAGCCTCCCCCGAGGATAGTTTTTCCGCTGATTTATTTTCTTTTTAGAGAGAGTGTGGGAGGGAAGGGGAGAGACACAGAGAGGGAAACATCGATGAGAGAGAGACCCCTCGATGGGTTGCCTCCTGCACGTGCCCCGACCAGGGCCAGGGAGGAGCCCGCGACCGAGGTACATGCCCTGGACTGGAATCGAACCCGGGACCCCTCAGTCCGAGGGCCGACGCTCTCTCCACTGAGCCGGACCGGCCAGGGAAGCACCTTTTCATGTATCAAAAAATAATGTGCATTTCTTTGTCTTTGTTTATGTCCTTTTCCCCAACGTTCTTTCGGTGGAAATGTTCTTCACATAGTAGGAGCTTTATGCCTGTCATGTATGTAACACACGGAAACAGCAGCCGGGACGCGGCCGTCCCGTGTGTCACGTGACCACGGCCCCCCAGTCCCGTGCGGCTCGGTGTATGGTTCGGTGCGGACTTTAAAAAATGTACGTTGTCAAATCTACGCCCGTTTGCCTCCCAAGCGTCTCTGTTTTATTACATTTAAGTGTCGATCCGTTAGACGTCGCCAGCGAAGAGCGAGGTCTGTGGGCGGCTGATGGTTCTCAGGCCTCGGACCAATGCTGTGTCTCCTCCGATTTGAAATGCCACCTCGATCGCAAATCACTTCCCGCGGGTGCTCGGGGGTGTTTGCGGGTGTTTTCCCACGGCCTGTCCGCCCTCGGGCGCACCCGGTCGTCTGTATCGGGCGGCTTTACCCTCATCCTCTCCTGCTCTCGCCAGATTTCCCTCGTTTTTCTTGCTTATTTATTTATTTTTCTTTTTTTTAAAA